GCCTTTATCCAGGTCTTTCAGCAGGTCAGCCTGATATGCTTGGAGCATCACCATCGTGTGCAATGAAGCGACAGCCCGACCTGCTGCTGCTGCGTATGCCCTGGCATTAGCAAGATGTCAAGGAGGGAGTCTTAAAAGAGGACGTCTCACCCATAGAGAGATAGCTGGCCAGCGTTTCTCTATAGGTGCATCTTCTCATAACCTCTTTTGCGCAACTCGTATGCTGGAATCGATGGATGCGTGAAGAAAAACGGCCTCTTCCATTCCTTCTCAATGTCTGTATGGAAACCAAGAAGAAAGGAAGGCTCACCTGAGCTGGAAGGTTATGGCCAGAAAAAATAATGTCATCGAGATGACCTCACAATGTCACTTTCTTCGCCCGCTTCACGGCAAGTAAAGCCTCGCGGTGGCGCGATCCATAACTTTCAAAAGCTCATCATACGCAGGGCAGGAGGATTGGGAAGGCTCAGCCTCAGCTTCTTTGCCCTCCTCAGACCTTTTATAAACTTCTAAACTCAAAATTTTAAGTTTTTTTTTTTTTTTTTAATTTGAGATTTTCTGTCAGAGTGTGGTGATGATGGAGCTGAAGAAATCATCCTGTCTCAATTCTCTCATATTCAAAGATGAATGCCAGTTTTATAATAAGTTTCTGACATGACAGCACGCGTTGTTCTTTAACCTGTAGCAGATTCTAGCGGGAGCTGCCTAATCACGCAATACGTGGCGTGCGTAATTACAGCGTAAACGGCGCGAGAGAGATTCTGCATTTGGCACATTGTGAATGGCTCATTTTCACGCATCAATTAATCATTGGTAAGAGGAGTTTTCTAATTTGTCAGCTAACTACAATGAGATTACCTCAATTTAAACCGACCTGTTCACGCAGAATGCAATTTTTTTTTCCATGCGCGACTTTATAGCTAATAGCATCTTCCTGACAGTTTCACACACATGTATTGTCGTCCCATCAATGTGGACCACCTTAAATGTTTGCTTGATTTTCTCAGCATGGCCCAAAAACACTAATAATAGGAACTATTTATGGAATGCAGTTTTTGGCATTCATTTTGTTAGTAAACAGAAGATTTGAAATGCCATGTTTACTCTGAAAGCCCTTTGACGCAGACATCCACTGAGCCAGTAAATACACTGTATTCCTGCTCGATTTCTAACTGACACAAAACAAAGCTAATCTGATGCCTCCAAACTCTCAGTCAGAGCTTTACATGATATGTAGACACATTAGTTATGTTGAGACTTCTTCTCTTCTGAAAACTCTTACATGAGTGGATACTGTGCCGTCAGACGTTTATACACTCTTAAAAATAAAGGTTGCAAAAGTTTGCCATAGAAGAACCATTTTTGGTTCCCAAAATAACCTTTCAGTGCACAGTTCCAAAAGGGACCATTTTGAAGAACATTTTAAAAATCTAAACTGAATCTGAACCACTGATGCCAATAAAGAACCTTTGTTTTTTAAGAGTGCACTGCAGGTTAATTGTTGAATGGTAATGAGTGTTCGTATGTTATAAAATCTTGCTCATGATTCATTCTTGGCATTTGAGCCCTGAAGTGTTTCACATTTAAGTCATGTGAGGAAGATAATCCACACACACACACACACTCTCTCTCTCTCTCTCTCTCACACACACACACACACACACTCTCATCATGTGAGTAGATGTGACTGCTGAGTTAATCTGGTTCTCAGTTCAACTCTAAGCTCTATGAACTCTACAGAAACTCAATGGTTTGTCAGTGTTTCCCGCAACATATTTTCCGACGCCCGCTCTCTGTCCGTTGGGAGTGTGCTCACCTAAATGCGACCTATGAAATCTGTTTTATGTTTTTTCCAAATTACAAATAAAATCATAAAACATACCATTTCACCGCATCTTGTATCTCCTGGTCCCTGATTCTCTCCTTAAGCTCTTGATTTTCTTTGCACAAACGTTCGTTACACTTTTCCAGCTCGATAACTTTCCCCTTGCATTCCTTAACTTCTTCGGCATTGAACTGCACGGCTTTCGTTAGGCTAGCAATCATGCTGCTACTCTGTTTAGCTTGCTCTCGAAGTTGCGTCAGTTGCTCATTGAAGTTCGTTTCCAAACTCTGAATGGCTTCCAGTATGGTCAGGTTAGAGACCTCATTTTCCTTTAATGTAGTTTTGCTCTTTTTCCCAGCTGGAATCTTACTCGGAGTTGTCGGCGTGGAGTCTTTTCTTTTAGTGATTGTGCTAACCTCCATATCGTAGTCATGGTCAGCAGATTGTTCGAAAATCTTAGTGCTCATCGCAGCTTGCTTCTTTTCACTGTCCCCCTCTTTAATTGTCAGTCTGGCCGGTTTGATCATACTTTTTTAATTGTTTGGAGCGTCTTTATAAGCAGAAAATCAAGATTTGGGACAATTTTGCTTCCGTCTCTGACGCGAGTGACTGTTCAACACGCCATCTTGCCCGGCCCTCGAGACCACTGTAAATGTGACAAAAATGGCATGTTTTTTTACACGGGATCCTGTAGATGAGGAGGCTGCATTAATTTGTGGAGAGTTACATTTACTTTTAGAAGATTTTATTTTTATTTTGTCATATCCACATGCATATTTATTTGAGCGGTGCCATTTTTAAATGCCATTCACTTGATAACATCTGGTTGCGACCTCTAAATAACCTAATAATTAGAATTTCCTTTAGGATTTCCAGTGTGGTTGGATGCATTGATTACAC